ATCATTAGAATTTGAAATAGAAGGTACACAAAAAACACCAGTTTGTTATTCAACATCTGGAAGCTTGAATCTCATACTAGATTTAAACCTTCCAGCATTGACCGTTCACTAGGATTATGCTGATTGACAAATGCTCTTATGATCTGTTCATGAATAGCTTTCTTATGAAACCAAGTTTCAACATCTTGGTTTCTCCTTTGACCGTCAATCTCTATAAATCTCCGGGATCTCTCTGTTAATGGATATTTCTGCATACACCTTGCATATTCAATTGCTGCTGATATTTGAAAAGCCAGATGTTTAATTGAGGTTGTTTACCCTAAAGTTGATACTAATTTTTGCCAAACTGAATTAAAAAGACATACCATAAAGTGATACTAATTTTTATTTTTACAAATATATAAGAAGTAGCTGGTAAGAATGTCAGAGTCTCGTTTCACATCTCAATGGAACTGTTCTTTGAGAAGTTTTCCCAACCCCTCTGCTGTTCCTTTGGTCACACTTTTAGCCCACTAGTTGTCGCTTAACTCATTGGTGGTAGTCTTCTTCTTGTCGATTCTTCTTGAATAATCAAGTAGGTTGGATTAATCACTTGTTTGTCTTGCACCAACATCTTAAAAAAAGTTCTGATATTCATTGCAAGCATAAAGTTTGACTCTATAGGCTATCAATGCAATGATAAAACTCTGAGCTTCAACCATTTAAACTTGTTCAGAAAAGTTTGCACATAGCTGGGTTTCTCTATCTAGAAACTATTCTCTACCCTCAAAGCGCTCTGGTTCCTTTCTTCCTATAGTTCAAGACAAGCTGGTATAGTCCTCCATGTCTTCCTCAACCCCTTTTGGATTCTGCATCCATTCCAGCACCTAAGGACCTGTTTAATTCTCTTTGGCATCATCCAATTCATCCCAATAATGTTCACAATAGCTCCCACTATTGTCTAGCTGTAGGACTATGCGGAAAAAGATGGCAAATATCCTCATTTGCTTCAGCACACATAAAGCACCTGCTGCATATCCGGATATCTCTCATCCGTAGATTATGCTGAGTTAGAACTTAAGTGTGTTATCACCCAACCAAAGCCAGCCACCTTGTAAGGGGCTTTAGTCTCACAATCATCTTTCTTGGCCAGTGGGGAAGATCACAATTTACAGTTAAAAGAATTTGGTAGTACTGCTTCACTGTAAAATTTACATCCCTTGGTGCAGTTCATTTTAAAGGATCAGCTTTTGCAGGAAAATATCTTGTTGTCCCAACTCCAGAAATAACTTGGCCAATCTTTCAACTTCCTAGTCATAGCAGCTCTTCTAAAACATATTTTCCTCTCATTCCTGATCTTCTTTGTGCTATTGTCGCCTCAGTATCTGCAGCAAAACTGTAAAGATCCAGAGTATGGACCTACTCTTGTGTTAGCCCCTTTGACAAAGTTCCTCGGCAGATGTGAGTTGTGACAAGGATTTTCATGATGGCCTTGGCACACAACCTGTAAAATGGGGCAACATCATGACGGGCAGCTCGGCATGACGGACTGAGCGGAGCTGACAAACGCACCTTGACGGAGGCGCATTTCACATGGACGTGCGGGTTGGCATGACAATGGCAAGGCAAAACCATGTCAAAGCAGGGGCCAAGACATGGCAAGGCAAGACAAGCAATAACAAGGGCATAGGCAAATTTGATCAAGTTGGGGGCGACTTGACATAAGCGGACAACTGAGACAACGGACGTGTGCGGCTAAGTCAATGGGCGGCAAGCTGTGGTCGTGACATTGGGGCGGAGCAGTGTCAAAGGGCAAGGCTGGGCGCAATGCCAGCCTTGGGCGTGCAACAACTGGCCAAAACAAGCACATGCAGTGCACATGACTGGGCAGTTGAGCGGTTACAACCGCCACATCCAAGCATGACTGATCATGGGGCTAAGTGGATGCACATTTTTTATCATGGCTGATTGTGTGGCTTAGTGATACACGTTTTTTAGCATGTTCTCCATGTTTGCCCATCAGTTGGGGCTTGTCAACTGATTGCTTTAAATGCTGCTAAGTGTAATTGGGCAGCCTGCACTATAGATATGTGCATAAGGCGACAGGGGCAGAACTTAGTCTTGTGGTAACTTGTTAAGCCAAAAACGTCTAAGTAATTCCTAAGGGTGGGAAAATCATTTTGGGGCAGAGAACTAGGGTGTTCTTTGTTCTTGACCATAGGGTTGGCTTTATTGTGTACTTGTATTCACATATTAATACGAGTTGGGAAGAAATTCCTGTAACTTTCGTATGTGGCTTTACTTTACTTGCTGCCTAAATTTTTCTAAGTTCCAAAACGTTCCTTAAATTATTCTAAGTGTTGGAAGGCTGAAGTCAAGGCTGGACTTGATTGCCGCGCAGTGGTGAACCTCGGGCAGAATTCGAGTGACGTAAATCACCCCTGTGACAACTGGTATCAGAGCGAGGCTGGATCGGGACGAAGACACGACGTTCAGTGGTTGAATTTCATGAAAGATGGCTGGTGGCAATGCAGAACTGAGGGAAAGAGTTGCTGCATTGGAGGCACTCGTCGGAATTGTTGATGGTGATCAATTTCTGACTATTGTGACTCGTCTCGCCTATCTTGAGGCCGAGATGAACAGGCTGAGCCAGGAGTGCACAGATCTGAAAGCGGAAAATGGGTTGCTGTGTCGTGCTGTTGGCAATGATGATGCACAGCTAAGTTGCTCGGACTCGGGTGCGGGTGTCCGATACGGGTGCGGATCTAGAGGTCAGATCCTTCATGATCTAAATTTAAAGATTCGGGGGTACGGATCCAGGTACGAATACGGGTGCGGGGATTCGGCTAAAAATAATTCAATTATTTAAAAATAGAGTTACAAAAATTTGTCTAAATTATGAGACATTATGTGGAAAACTTACAAGGTATTCCGAGAAGGAGAAAATATTGAACAAGAGTAGAATTTTAGAAGGAGATAAAAGGAAAACGATTGACATAGAAATTTATATATACAGGGTATTCCATTTTCTTCCATATCACCCTAGCTTTTGATTTGTTTTCAAAAATCATTGTATCTGTCCCAAATTTCTCCGTTGATTTTGGTCAAAGTACTCAAAATCGGTTGACCAGATCCGACACTGATCTCACACCCATACCCACACCCACGTCGTGTCGACACGGGTGCGGCACTGAAAGTAAAGAGTCCGAGCAACTTAGATGCACAACGTGGGGCAGATCATACCAAGGTCAAAATACCTGAGCCTAAAGAGTTTAATGGTGCAAGGAGTGCCAAGAAACTCGAAAATTTCCTGGGGGATATGGAGCAGTACTTTCAGGCTGCCCATGTGCGAGATGAAGACAAGGTCACCATAACGACTTTGTACTTAGTGGACGATGCAAAGCTTTGGTGGCGGACGCGCGTGGCAGATGATGTAAGTCCTGGTGGGCCTAAGATCGACTCTTGGGAAGGGCTGAAAAAAGAGTTGAAGGATCAATTCTTTCCTAGCAATGCGGGCTGGATTGCTAGAGATCGTTTGAAGAAGTTGAAACAAACTGGAACGGTCAGGGATTTTGTCAAAAATTTCAGTTCTTTGATGCTGGATATAAGCAACATGTCTGAGGAAGACAAGCTGCACAATTTCCTTTACGGGTTGCAGTCGTGGGCACAGATGGAACTCCGAAGGAAGAACGTGAAAGACCTTCCTAGTGCCATCGCTGCTGCGGATGCTTTGGGTGACTTCCGGCTGGGGCATGAATGTTCTGATTTTTCTACTGCTTCAAAGTCCAAAAATGGGAACAAGGACAAGGCAAAAAAGTGGAGGAAAAACGGGAATGACAAAGGAAATGCTGTTGAGGGCAATAACAATGGGAAGGAAAAGCAATGTGCTGGACCTTCGACAAACAAGGGACAAAACAACAAGTTTGATGGCTGTTTTATTTGTAAAGGACCACACATGGCGAGGGACTGTCCGAAACTTGAACGGCTTACAACTTTGTTTGCTGATGAAAAAGGTGAAGATGAGTTGAACAAGGAAGAACAAGAGCAGGAGACGGCATATTTAGGGCCTATGATGGTGCTGAAAAATGCGAAAACTGCATCGTCGAGGACGATGAATTCTTCGGGTGGGGGTGGTTTGTTAGCCCCTTGACAAAGTTCCTGTGGGTTGTGACAAGGATTTTCATGATGGCCTTGGCACACAACCTGAAAAATGGGGCAACATTATGACGGGCAGCTCGGCATGACGGACTGTGCGGAGCTGACAAACGCACCTTGACGGAGGCAAAGCGCATTTCACATGGACATGCGGGTTGGCATGACAATGGCAAGGCAAAACCATGTCCAAGCAGGGGCCAAGACAAGGTAAGGCAAGACAAGCAATGACAAGGGCATGGGCAGATTTGATCAAGTTGGGGGCGACTTGTCATAAGCGGACAGCTGAGACAACGGACGTGTGCGGCTAAGTCAATGGGCGACAAGCTGTGATTGTGACATACGGGCGGAGCAGTGTCAAAGGGCAAGGCTGGGCGCAATGCCAGCCTTGGGCGTGCAGCAGCTGGCCAAAACAAGCACATGCAGTGCACATGACAAGGCAGTTGAGCGGTTACAACCGCCACATCCAAGCATGACTGATCATGGGGCTAAGTGGATGCACGTTTTTTATCATGGCTGATTGTGTGGCTTAGTGATACACGTTTTTTCGCATGTTCTCTATGTTTGCCCATCAGTTGGGGCTTGTCAACTGATTGCTTTAAATGCTGCCAAGTGTAATTGGGCAGCCTGCACTATAAATATGTGCATAAGGCTGTCCCAAAGGGGCATAACTTAGTCTTGTGGCAATTTGTTAAGCCAAAAACGTCTAAGTAATTCCTAAGGGTGGGAAAATCATTTTGGGGCAGGGAACTAGGGTGTTCTTTGTTCTTGGCCATAGGGTTGGCTTTATTGTGTACTTGTATTCACATATTAATACGAGTTGGGAAGAAATTCCTGTAACTTTCGTGTGTGGCTTTACTTTACTTGCTGCCTAAATTTTTCTAAGTCCCAAAACGTTCCTAAAATTATTCTAAGTGTTGGAAGGCTGCCGCGCAGTGGTGAACCTCGGGCAGAATTCGAGTGTCATAAATCACCCCTGTGACACCTTGCATCCTGCCATAACTTAATTTTCCTGCTATCACCAACATTCAATCGCCTTATGCTGAAGAAATTCCGGCATAATTTCTGATATGCTTCCATCGTCCAACACCATTACTTTTCTGGTGGACCCACTCATTGAGTTTCCCATATTTTGTATGCATAACCCTTCGCCGTAGCACCTGTTTATCTTTTTATGTCTCTAAAGCCAGTTTGGTTTGGGATTCATAGGTTGTTCGCCCAGGTTCCCCTGCCTTCTTGCTTTGCAAATGTGCGTCTTACTTTATCGAATGGAAAGATAGGTTCCCTACCAAAAAAAGCTTCTCCTAATCCTGTCTAAATGTTGAATTAGCTTAGAAGGGATTGGGAAGAGTAACTTCATGTAGGTTCGCAGAGAATGTAAAACGTTGTTAATCTGCACTAACCTTCCTCCTAGAGACAAAAAGGAGCCTTAATGTCTCAAGGCGGAAGTAAACAGATGAAACAAAGTTATTAGGTCTGAGGTTAAGCTATTGTCTAGTACTAAGATAAGATCATTGCTTGCTGCAAGTAAGAGTGACCTAGAGCCTGTCTGATCTCTGCTTCTCTGGCTGCCTTGTTCTTTCGTCAACCCCTTTATCTGTTTAAAAATGAAAAAAAGGTTCGATTTTTGACTTGAATTTTCATATAGCGGAGCCTTCGCCAAAGGAAGCAACAAGAGTATCTTAGAATTCTACAAGAATATCTTAGAATTCTTCCTTGATCCTTTTTCTTACTCTCTCCGTCTCAATTTAGATGAGGTAGTTTGACTCAGCTAGGAGTTTAAAAAAAAAAAAAAGACTTTTGAAATTTGTGGTCTTTAAAGGTCGCTTTGTGGGCCATGACATTTGTGTGGTCATAAAAGCTTCTCATTAAGGGTAAAATGGATAAAATGAAGAGTTTAAAGTTGAATTATTTCCTATTGTAGAAATGTGTCATTCTTTTTGGAACGGACTAATAAGTAAAGTGTGTCATCTAAATTGAAACAAAGGTAGTATTTTTTTGGGTTTTAACAAGAAAGCTGATAAAACTACATCACATTCTGGGTAAGGAACAATTAATATTTGATTCTTCAGTGCTGAAAATAATCCACGTTTGTTTGCAGTTGTACACTGCTCTTGAATATGATGAATATAACAATACACATCAAGTAAGTTGGTGAAGGGGAGCTTTGGAGAAACAATAAAGTAGTGTTAAAGCGCAAAAAAACTCGCTTTTAGTACAAAGCGCAAATAAAGCATGGGCTTTAACGAAGAAAGGCGCAAATGGAGAAAAAATACAAATGTCTGTGTAATCCAAAACTAATACGTATAAGCATGAATAACAAACATATGGATAAAGAAATTGAAAAAAAAATACGATAAAGTGAAATATCAGTTATTTAGTGTCGCCTCTTCAGGATTACGCTCATTGGCATGGAAAAGTATGCTTTAGAGCATTGATGACAACACTGAAGTGCCCGTTAAGCAAAGCGAAGCGCTCAACATGTTTTGCGCCTCTTCAGGGCTTAAGCACGCTTTAAGCGCGCCTTTGACAACACTGCGATGAAGTTGTCTCCATGTGACGTATAGGTCACGAGTTTGAGCCATGGAATCAGCCATTGATGGTTGCGCAGGGTAGGCTGCCTACATCACACCCCTTTGGGTGCGGCGCTTCCCGAGATCCTGCGTGAATGCAGGATGCTTCGTGCACCGGGCTGCCATTTTTACATCAACTAAGTTGGTGTGGCTTGCCTTCAGTCTGGATTCTCGATTTGCATTCTTTAAATTTCCAAAGATAATTGGCGCAGTCAATGTTTATTGCACAAGTGAGGTGATCATTTTAATCCAGTAAAAATGACAGATAAATACTCGCGTATTTTAAGGTTGAAATACCTTGAATTTTACATGGACTTTTCACACATTGCGCATGAAATATATGGACAACATTTTCTCTCTTGCAGCCCCTTGATGCGCAGAATAGAATAATTGATGCATCTAGACGTACGGATCAGAAAGGAAAAAGAAAAAATAACATCTTAGTGTGCTTGCAACTGATTCTCTTATCTTGTCACATTCTTTGAATTGATTCATTGTCTTCATTGGAGTTATTACTTAGCTTCACCGGCTGGAAAGATAATTCATGTGCATCAACAAAGGTCTAACAGTTTCATTGTAGGCACATCTTTCACTTAGTGAAAGCCGCGTTCACATATTATTGGATTTCAACATAGAAAATGAGCCTATGGTTATCTTGCTCAAGTTTGGATGTTAGCATTAATGTTTCAATGGTTCTCATTTGAGTTTTCCTCTAGTACAGTGATTAAATACCTGCTCCTTTCATGTCTTTGTCACTTTCAGGTTGGTGGAGACTTCATTGACAGAGCCCTGACCTCCAGGCAACGGAGTACATATACTTCAGCGTTGTTCTATGCTTCCTGGTGCCCGTTCTCAAGGAGAATTCATTTCATCTTTGAAGCCTTAAGTTCTATGTACCCTCAAATTGAACACCTAGCCGTTGAGCAATCTTCAGCCATGCCGAGGTGAGAGAATGCTCCTCTTTGTCAAAAAGAAAGCGTACTGTCATAATTGCTGGAATGGAGTATGATTGTGAAATCTTTGCTTCTGATATGATGGAATCTTATGGTTTCACTGCTAAATCTGCTGGGGCTAATGTGTCTGGAGAAGCATTTATTTCTTCTAAAGGCGAGGAACGAAGTTTCCTCTTTTTCAATAACATGAAATATTCAAAACAGGCCAACACTGTAAAACACTTGAGTTTTCCAAGAACGAAATCATTCATTTATGGATACTGGTACAAATTTGCAATTTTTTTATTAACTGAACTGCTTTTTTATGATCCATGTTGCAGCTTGTTCTCAAGATATGGTATACATAGCGTGCCTGCGATATTAATTTTTAACCGAACGTCAAGGACGTGGTTTCATGATTGCAAAGATCTTGATTCACTTTCAAAATTTTACAGGAGAACTACAGGTACTTGTCTTAAATAAGCAAAAATTAGTATCGGGTTTTTGGGCCAAACTGGGGTTAGTTATAGTTAAGGCTTAACCGTATACGTCATACACGCTTGAATCTAGGTAGAATAAAATTTCCTCATATTTAGGAGAAGTGGTAACTGAGTGAAAATCTATTCCCTCTCTCAACTAATTGCCAGAAAACTTTATAAAGGAGTAATTAATTTTGGCATGTAGATATGATTCTGGGAACCAATGTATGTTCTCCAAGATATAGATTAAGAGGAATTTTGGGGTCCAAGGAGATCAGTTAATAGCTTCTTTTCGCTATGTCTATTGAAGTATGAACTATGGCTTGCTTCTTTTGACCTGCCTACCACGTCTAATTTCCTCTTCTGGTTGTCTTGAATGCAGGACTTAAACCAATTCAGTTTGTTGATGTTGATCATTCTGGTGTATTAAGGAAAAATGCAAGATTTGCAACGGAGTCCAAGCTCTCCCTGCCGCTCAATGAAATGTTAAGTCGAGAACCTTACTTGTCATTTGCTGTTGCATTCCTTTGTTTAAGGGTAATATGGATTGTTGCCCAAAGACTCATGTACCATATCAAAGCTTTTTGGACGAGGTACAGACCCAATCCAAATTTAGACATCTTCGGTGAAACTGGCCAAATCTTGAGGCGGATTGTTCAGACGATAGATATGAAGGGGCTTTGGACAAAGCTAAGACAATGCAAGATCAGGAACTTGCACCATGGTGCAAGGAGTGCACGCGTGTGGGCTTCATCTTTGGCTTCTGTCTCCCTAGGTGAATCATCAACTTCTAGATAGTCGCGCTTAGAAAAATCTCTGACTGTGTATATAGTTGCTGTGAGGAGGGGTTGGAATTCTCAGGTTACTAAAAAGAAAACCTCCCCGGTTTGAACTAAAGCGAAGGGAGATAGAGAAGCCAAAAGGAGACCTGGACGTTTAATGGAAATCTTATAGATCATGCTGGGCTTCCCCTTTAATTTGTGTCCTGTGGTGTTTGTCAGTAAGAGTATGCGTCCTTTGTAGAGTTTCTGCTGTTTAACTTATGGACCGAGGCATCCAGGGCTACGGAAGAATGGCTAATAAGAAGGTTAGAGTTTAAATCTTGCTTACAGCATTTGCAAAAGGTGTTCTACTTAAATGCACAATGGAACCAATTGTTGTTGTAAGTCTATGAAACGGGATTTGTGGGGTTGGAATAGAAGAAAAATGGAGAGCATTGGAGATTTCTCCTGTAAAATAAACAGCAAAAAATGGTTTGATCTATCTGTAACACGAATTAAGTGCCTTGAACTCTCTCTCAATATTTCCTCCTCCCAACCCCTTGTGTATTAGTACTGAAAACTCATGATATAGATTAGTTTGTCGTTGCTACTTCGTGTCATTGTGTATGTGACAGAAGATGAAACATATCTTTGCGACTTTGTATGACAGACTATGAAATGGTTACTTTGTTAGTCCAGAAAGCTGACAATGAAAACTATTTTTTTCAATGTGACTTTTGTGAATAAGTCATTGTCTGATAATGTGCAAGGAATCCCTTTCTTTGTGCTAAAAAAGATGGATTAAACTTATACTTTATGCTTTTTATTATCGTGGTTCCTTGTTAGTAATAGACCCTCGTGGTTCCGGTCCTTTTTTAGACTCCGCGCATAACGGGAGGGTAGTGTATCGGGCTGCCCTTTGGTTCCGTGTTAATAATAATACTATAGACATGTGGATAAGCTCAACTATGTTTCTTTTCTTGGGTAAAAGTAAAGGAAAAAAAAGTAGGCGTTGACCTTGAATAAATCAATACTTAAATTTAATTTCTTCAAAGAGCTTAATGCTCTGACTTCTCATCCACTCCACTATGTGGGTATATTCTAAATATCTAATCAACTTGCTCCTTTGTTCCAAATTGATTAATGGCGTAATTGAATTGTATGGTGCAATACTCTTTTCAAATGCTGTCAAAAAAAGCTTCAGAAATAAATGGTTCATATTTTATCGTGGTCATTTGGTTCACCGGTTTAACAAAAAAATCTTTGGTTACTCTTATTTATTGGCTCCATTATATTGGAAAACATCGCAATCGTGCTTTAAATCTCCTCATGCCTCATAGTTTGATTCTGATAGAGATGTGTTAAACGGAATGATGAAACATAAAAAATCTTGGGAGACTATGAACAGATAGATGTCTTTTATTTCAAAGTAATATTATCTCAATTTCTTAGAACTTTGAATAGATAAAGCCAACTGAATAATATAAAAGGGTTGAGTTAGAGAAAAAAGATATTCTATCACTGAAGCTAAAATAGATCATGGAAGTCTAAGATTTACGTCCCAACATCGGAAAGAAAAAGATTAAGGTGATTTTTATAGAAAAAATAGGCATTTCATATTTTAGCCAACGTTTTTGGTTTCTCCATCAGGTGATCGATATCAACATTGGATCCAATTAACTCGAATTTGCGCTGTAGAAGGCCAAATAGTGAGGGACACATTCTCGGGTGAATGACACAAATAGGATATTTCTGTACAACTATTATTTTTTGACCACCGCAAGAGAAGTTTTGGGAGAAAATCTCTTTGCGCTAGAATTTTAATGCATGTTGGGCGAAATTTTCCTTAACATCGTATGGTGATCGTCAGTATTTTACCACAAATTCTGACGGATCACCAGAATTTTTATCAGTATGGATGAAAAATCTGGTAATCTCTAGAATTTCTTACGCTTCAAAATTCTGGCGCGAAGTTATTTCCCAAAACGTTGCTTAACGAGGTCAACATATGTTAGAAGCTCAGAGTGAGCTCATGCAATGGGTTTCAATGGAGGAAACCCTAGCTGTACAGTAGAGAGAAAAGAGGAAAAGAACTATTGGAGAAAATACCTATTATTATTAATGAATCTCCTAACCTCTTATTTCCGTAAATACAAGTATTTATACTTGTGTTACAATGTGGCTATATTTACAAAGGTAAAATGGCTAAAGAATATAAAAGCTATGTTGTTATATGTGTGTGTTATTATGTGGGCCGTTGGGACAGGAGTGGGCCTGGTCTGAAGTAGTTCGGAACTAAGGTCCAATCTGCTCAACCCCTCCCTCCTCCCCTNCCACTTGTTCAGCACTTGTAACATAATGAAGGGAGACCAAACCAGAAGTAACATGGTCGCGCACATAATGACAGTCAATCTCGATGTGTTTGGTACGTTCATGAAAGACTGGGTTCTTAACAATGTGGATAGCAGCCTGGTTGTCACAAAAAACAAGAGCAAGATGGGTAATAGAGACACCAAAATCAGCAAGTAACTTGATTAACCATGACACCTCAGCAACTACTTGTCGAAGGGTCCTATATTCAGCCTCAGCAGAGGACATTGATACAATTTGCTGCTTCTTGCTCTTCCAAGAAACATGGCAGCCACCAAGAGTGATAAAATAACCAGAGACATACTTCCTAGAGATGGCACAAGCTGCCCAGTCGGAATCAGAATAAGCCTTGAGAGAGAAATCAGTACCAGGAGAGAGGAGAATTCCTATAGTTGGGGCAGCAGATAAGTAACTCAGAACATGGATAGCAACAAGCATGTGAGGGACTTGAGGAGCTTAGAGGAATTGACTGAGATGTTGTACTGAGAAAGCAATATTAGGTCTTGTGTGTTGTAGAAAATTAAGTTTGCCAACTATCCTCCTATAAGTACTAGGATCAGATAGTGGCTCCCCCATATCAGTTGAGAGTTTGACAGAGCCATCGAGAGGAGTGACCATAGAGGAAATATTCTAGCAATGAAACTGTGAAAGTAAATTAGAGATAAATTTGTATTGAGTCATAAGAAAATCAGCAACAACTTTAGTGACTTCCAAGCCCAAAAAATAGTAAATAAACCCCAGGTCCTTGATTTTAAACTGAGCATCAAGGAAAGCCTTGACATCATCCAGCTCAGAAACATCATCACCAACTAGAAGGATGTTATCAACAAAAATAACTAGAACTGTGAGGGAACTGCCAGTGGACTTTGAGGAATAAAGAATAGTTATTTTTACTAGGAATGTAGCCTCTACTGAGCAAGGCCTAAGACGGCTTAGAAAAAAACTGTCTAGAGGCCTGCTTGAGGCCATATAGAGACTTCCTTAGTGTAACGATCCGGCCGGTCGTTTTGAGTATTATAGCCCCATTCTCCCATTTACTTCTCTATTTGTGATTTATAGCTATATTATGACCTATCAGATTAGTTAATTCGGGACCGGAAGGATTTCAGAATGAATTGAGACACTTAGTCTCATAATAAAAAATTTAAGTTGGAAAAATCGATCGGATATTGACTTATGTGTAAACGACTTCGAATTTGAATTCTGATGATTCCAATAGCTCCGTATGGTGATTTTGGACTTAGGAGCATGTCCACAAAATTATTTGGAGGTCCGTAGTGGAATTAGGCTTGAAATGGCGAAAGTTAAATTTTTTGGAAAGTTTGACCGGGGGATTGACTTTTTGATATCGGGGTCGGAATCCGATTCTGAAAATGATAGGTCTGTAATGTGAAATGTGACTTGTGTGCAAAGTTTGAAGTCATTCCGGATTGATTTGATGTGTTTCGGCACAAGATATAGAATTTGAAAGTTCAAGTTCATAAATTTTTGATTTGAGGTGCGATTCGTTGTTTTGATATTGTTTGATGTGATTTGAGGCCTCGAGTAAGTCTGTGGTATATTTTAGGACTTGTTGGTGTATTTGGTTGAGGTCCCGGAGGCCTCGGATGAATTTCGGATGGTTAACGGATCAAATTCGGACTTAGAAAAATGCTAGAACTGCTGCCTCTGATGTGATCGCACCTGCGAGGGTCTTGGCCGCAGGTGCAGCGGGGTTGGTGCAGATGTGGGCCTGGGGTTGGCCTGGGGTCTTCGCAAGTGCGACGATATTTGCGCAAAAGCGTGACCACAGATGCGGTCCTAGGCATCGTAGAAGCGATCTGGGCTGGCCAAGCTATTCTCGCAAAAGCGAGTTGTTTTCCGCAGAAGCGAGGGTCGCAGGTACGACCTCTTGTCCGCATCTGCGAAAGGGCTGGACGGAATCCTTTAAATTCGAGGGTTCGTGATTTTTCACCATTTTCGGATTTTGGAGCTCGGTTTGGGCGATTTTGGAGAGGAACTTTTCCACACGACTTGGGGTAAGTGTTCTTAACTCCCTTGTGATTATATTCCATGAATCTATCTTCATTTTAGCAATTGGTTGATGAATTTAAAGAGGAAATTGGGGGTGTTGGCCTAAAGTTCATAATATGAATTTTTTGAATTTTGAACATTGATTTGGAGTTGGAATTGAGTGAAATTAGTATGGTTGAACTTCTAATTGGATGGGTTGTCGGATTTTGTGAGTTTCGTAGCGACGAGACGTGGGCCCCACGGGCAATTTTTGGAATGTAATTTCGAATTTTGTAAGAAAATATTAGTATTTTGATATGGAACTTTCCTATAAATTGTGTGGACTGAATCAAATTTATTGTGGCTAGATTCGAGCCATTCAGTAGTTGATACGCGCAGAATGGGATTTCAGGAGCATTGTTTAGCTTGCTCGGCATTGGATTCGTCTTGTTCGAGGTAAGTAACTCTTCTAATCTTGGAGATGAGGGTATGAACCCTGATTTTACGTGTTATGTATTTGGTGTTGAGGTGATGCACATGCTAGGTGACGGGCATGTGGGCGTGCACCGTGTGAACTATGACAGTTATTTCTGTAGTACTGTGTAGTTATCTAAACTTGTCTGAAATCATGAAAATCTCTACGTACTAGAGTTATCAAAATGTGATCCATGCTATAAACTATGTTTAGACTACATGTTTATCTTGTTGGGATCCACCGAGGTCATTTCTGCTGTTAAGTTATCTGCCTTCATTGCATTACATACTCAGTCATACGCACACATTCATATGCATATCATATCTCAGTCTCTGTTGTTATTTATTTATACATCATATCATCATTTTCGGGCTATTTTCATGACATTGTGAGCCCATGAGAGAGAGACTGGAGAGATTGATGACTGAGTGAGGCCGAGGGCATGATTGATTCTAATATTGATACTGATTTATGATAGTGCTTGGGCTGAAGGAGCCCCTCCGGAGTCTGCACACACCCCCAGTGAGCGCGGTTGATATTATTGAGGGATGAATCTTCCCTGGACATTGATCTTGTCCGAAGTATTATATACCTGGAGATGGATCTTCTCCACGGGCTGCATTGGCCCTACTCGGTATTGAGTGACTAATGATCAGTGCTGTATATGTTCTGGGATGGATCTTCCCTGGGCCGTATGGGCCATATATAGTACCGAGTGGTTGAGTATTTGAGAGCGTGAACCTGGAGATGGAACTTCTCCACATGGTTGGATTGGCCTTCCTCGGTACTGGGTGACTTATAGTCAGTGATGTATATTTTCCGGGATGGATCTTCCCGGGCCGTATGGGCCA